GACGATCAATGAGGGCTACAACGAAGGCCTGGCGAGGCAGGGCGTCGGCGGCGGTTCGGCTCGAGAGCCATGAGTAGACGGTGGGCTTGTCGGGCTCGTGGAGGCCCACGTATTGGAAGGACAACTTGGTGTCGTTCGTCATCGGGAGGAGAATTGGCGATGATGGAGCATGCGAGTTCAAGTTCTGAGGGGGTAAGAGGGTCTAGCGGGTGTTCTTGGGGGCTCGAAGGTGTTGATAACAAGGCCGAGGCTAAGAATAATACGTAGAACGACAGTTTCATTGACGTTAAAGCCATTTTTTCCTTTTTGCTTGATGTGAAATGAGGACTTGTATGTGCTTATATAGTATTCGAGAGATTAAGTCTTAATTTGTTTCGCGGAAAATGGATGATTTGGAAAATATTTTCTAAAAATGATCGTTTATATTGCTTGAAATAATGAATCGATGGAATATATTTTCATTATCGACAACAATTTATGTCTAGACATATTCATTGATGACGAAAATATTCTTTCTATATATTCATTTCTGTAAACGATACAAGCGATCGTTTTCAGTAAAATGTTTTTCTAAATCATCTATTTTTCGCGAAACAAAAGGAGTGTGAAATATTTTTTTCAGGAAAATATTCGGAGCTATGTACATAAAATGCACAAAATGCTTGAGGACTTGAACAATTAGACCGCTAATTAGGTCATTTTTCCAAAAAAAGACAAGAAAGGAGAAGATAGTTGTGAATGAAAAATGCTATTTCAAAGTTGTTCAATTTTGCATGATTTGTTGGTGATGTAACTTTCACCTCTAATGTTTCTAATTCTGCAATGCCCGCTCTGACATTTTGCAATTTGTTTCAATGCGCTGTCTGGCGTTAGCTCCGGCCAAACTCTCACCAGAATTTTGACCATTTGCGCATCAAGGTCACTAGGGAGATCCAACTGTGTAGCCCAGCAAACTTTGCAGGATTATTTGTCTACCCTGTATTTCTTTAGTTTGTTGCATTTTGGCCCCCTGGGCCGGCGATGGCCGCCATCGCCGGCCTTGGGGGCACGCGAGGACAACCATCGCCTTAGGCCAAGAAGGGCGGCCCTTGCTTAAGGCCAGCAGAGGGAAAAAGAGAAAAAAAAAAAAGAAAACCATTTATAAAATTTTAAAAAATTGCAAAAATTATCCACGTCAATGCTAGTCATGCCATGTAGGATGACTAACGTCACTAGATCGCCATGTCAGTGATTTCCGACCAAAATTGACCAGAATAACTAAATTAATAAATCGTTAAAAGGTTTAGGACTAATTGACAAACCATCCAAAGGTTTAGGACTAAATTGGTACAATTGAAAGATTTATGATTAATATGGCAAGTTGTCAAAAAGTTCATGACTATATTAGCACAATTGAAAAGTTTATGACTAAATTGGCCGTCATACAATATGTTTAAGACTTTTTGGACAATTTTCCCTTTATTTATATACACATTTCGAAAAGAAAAAAAAAACCAAAATATAGTGGGGCAAATTGCCACAACCTCAAAAAATTGGGGGCACAACGTAATTCTCCCTAAAAGCAACTTGGAGAAAGTATTCACAAAAAGACCGTCTACATGATGAACTCTTCATGCACAAGGAGCTAACCTAATTCATGCAAATCGTGAATGGTATAGATCGATTACCTATGCCACCTCTTGAACAACTCCGTAGAGGCTAACGAAAAGCTTACGACACTTTCCAAAATGAAGCCTTGGCCTAACTATGTCATCTACAAGCAATTTGGTGAATATTCGTGGATCTACGAAAATTATTGTATGTGTTCCACGTTACGAAATAGTGTCTACACCTCACCGTCTGTTCTTTGCAACCCCTTTGCGTTGCTTTTTTTTTTTTTTATTTCCTCCTTTCCCTACTATATCAATTGTTTGGATAGCTTTTGTCACTTCATACTGTATCATTGAAAAAGAAAGCGCTAATACCACGGAAAGCTCCAAACTGATACACATGAGATAAATTTATCCCGAACTAATTAATTTTTTGACCATCAAAACCCCAAATCGGTACACCCGTGACAAATTTACCACAAACTAATTTTTTGATCACCAAAAACTCCAAACTAATACACCTGTGATAAATATACCCTTCGTTAGTTTCCGTTAAATTTTACGGTCAAATTGCCAAGTTGAATGAAGTTGACTGGTGTATCAGTTTTGGGTTTTTCGCGGTATTAACCCAAAAACAAATGTGCCACACTGTTTTTTTCATTTTTGATGTAACTTCTTCATATGAATCTACCAACGGGTTGGGTCACAAAAGCCCGATACTTCACTCGAATTGTATATTAACTATTATAAACTACACCAATCCTCTCCAATTTGGGATCGGGACTTCACTAACGCCTTTTACGGGCGTGTCTTTACGATCTCCTCTCACGTGTGACTTGTGAGCCTTTTGTCTTAGACCCGTTTTCCTCTTAATCCATGTGCACTTTTGCACCAATATGTGTATTGATTTGAATCTCTTCCGTGTTGCCAGATGGGTACGCAAACACTATCATTCTCGAAACTGATATTGCATTGTGTTACCTCGATAACCGCTCCTCCTTTATTCAAGGACTCTCACCAAACCAACTTAATGGCAATCTTCATCCACAACCACAACACCATCGATGATGAGATTCCTTTCTCAAGATATTCATTAAATATTTATCTGTATTGGGCCAACTATAAGAACGTCGAGGGCGATACCAACTTGTTGGGTCGCAGAGGAGAAGGTTGATATCGTTTTATATCATTTGAATGCGTATTGTAAATATACCACTACTACATAACTAGCCTGATGCAAATCCCAAAATGTGTTGCATAATACCTTTGGAAGCGTTGCTCAAAACAAGCGTTGCTTATATGGTCGTTGCCTAATTACACAGTGCAACACTCGTTTTAATAAGCAACAAATCAAACATTCGAATCTTAATTGAAACGATTCTATCAACATCTTCTTTCTTTTTTATTACAGACAGTGAAATTATATTCTTTGTCCCTTGCCAAACATCGTGCTTTAAAAAAAAAAATGTTGCCTAAAATCAAAGTAAAAGCAACCTTTCGAAACTAGTGTTACTGTCCGAACTAAAAAAAAAAACTAGTGTTACATTTGCACTCTTTGGTTGCCTTACACTTTTCTTAGACAACACATCGAAAGAGCGTCGGCATAAGTACTCTCAAACAACGGAATATCTCATTGCTCGTAATAACAAAACGAGGTCAAACAAAATGCTTTTTGACAAACCTTCCTCAAGTATCTTAACTGAAACAAACACCCATCTCCGTATGTTAGGAGACTAGATTACGAGTGATAACACCCGTATGGTCTCTCTATTGTTAATTTGGTAGTAAAACGCCGGAACCGGACCAAACCAGGTTCAGTGAACCATTTTGGTTTTTGCTAGTGCTTTTTATGATTATGTAGCCATAACCTCTAGCTTAGTGTGAAATTAATCTCCTCAACATTGAATTCTGAGGAAGAGCAAGAAAACTTGTGTTTGGACCTTTGGGTGCCATCATCATTACTTTGCCAAAACAAGAGGTGGACAAATTCATAATCTCACACACCCTCCCCCAGCCGAAAAGAATAGTGATAGATTGGTAAACAAATTCACGATCTCCCCCACCATTCGAAATCCGAAAAAGGCTTTCTGGTGATGTTCTGGATTCTCTGTGTCCCTCGGCATGAGCAGGAACACAATCCTCTCGAGAGGGACCCCCCATGTCTCACCGCCTTCTTGTCCGAGGGACAGCCCCCGCATCATGCTGATGCCACTCCCATATCATAGCTTTGATGTTGTGCTGTGTGGGGTCCCTGTGGGGAGGGACCCGCGCTGTAGATGCAATTCGAGATGAGATCTTGACACGCGGCGGACCATGATGTCTGGGGGACCTGGAGTGCGCTCGCCGGAGATTAGCCGGATCTTCTGTGTTCGCCGGAGATTAGCACGTCCTAGACGACATCTTGTTTTCTTTTGGTTCGTCTCATATTTTGAACTTGAATACCGAGGATTGAGATGTTTGGACAATCTCGTATCGAAACATGAATTGCAGATGACATTACGTTATTAAGACCGTAACGTTCCACAATCGTTTATTTGATCTCCTCGATCTCATCACTATTCTTTTCCCCTGATTACCGGATAGTCGATGAGTCGTGGTAAGTAGCTGAATCGCTAGTTAATCCATGAGGTGGGTAGATTGCAAAAATCGAGCACTCAACTATGGATCCCCGTGCCTGCGTAGGTGTTCATATTTGCTTTAACTAACCAATCTCGACGTACTTTAACAAGTCTCAAATAAGGCCAATGGCGTGTATCGAAATGTTACGTTTATTTATTCCTAGGCAAACGAACTCAGGATCCTTTTTTATGTGTGATGCGAAATTGATGCTTTGAAGAGTTGGTGAAGCAATCCATCTTAGCGAAAACGACAGAAACATCAAGACTTTCAACGCCCAGTTTTTCACTAAATCTTCAATCCTTTCAATGGATTCTCGGGTTCACATTAGGAAAGCAAAGTGTCTTTTTTCTTCTGTGTTTTTAAAATGGGTGATTTTCCATATTTTACAGTCTTCATTGTGTTGAGAGGAATGAGGATGGTGATGGGGATGATGAGTGCGCCAGGCGCAGCACGCCTTCCATCTTTTAACCCAAGAAGCGAATATTATTGATGATGATGATGATGATGATGATGATGATTCTCGTAGCACGCCTCTCTCTCTCTCTCTCTCCCATGCACATTTCTCAGAACAAGGAAAAAAAACCAGAAATTTCGGTAATTTGTCTCTCACCCTTCCTCAATCATCTTTTATCCCTTTCTTTTCCTTCTTTTTCTAACTTCTGTGTTTCTCTCTAATGACTCCTCCCATTGCACACTACACAGCAGAAGAAACAGTGCACTCACTCACCATCATCACCTCGTGCTGTCTCTCTCTCTCTTCAAGTTACATTGGCCAACGTGCAAAAAGAAAACAAGTTCTTTTCTCGACATAGTTTTTCTACGAGGATCTTCGAAAACCTTCCAACCCCTAGACAGATACATGTTGTGGGTCTAGATCTTGGCGGCCTAAGTGCTTTGGATATACACTTAAGATGTACATCTGTTCCTCTTTCTTGTCTTTTTTGTGGTTTACCACTGATCTGAAACGATCTCCTTCTGTAGAATCCGACTTACATGTGTGAACTGAACGTTGGGGTAGTTTGTTTTATACTTCTTCTCTACCCTGTGGTGAAGACCTGTTCTTATGGTGCCTCAGTAATTAATCCCCTGTTGTGCCCGTCCTAATCAAGGTCTATTCTTGCTATGACTCCCAACAACGAGCCTAATGTACCAATGACTGTCGATTTCCGAGTAATTCTGTGTGTTATTTTAAACTTCTTAGGAGCTATGATAACGACGGATTTTAAATTATGACAATGTATGGATTACGAGGGGGATTGATTCCCGAGGGACCAGCATGGCAAGGTCATTACACAGAGATATTTGCTTTGTGGCATCCAATTGTCAAATGACTAGAAGACTTGTTGTCAAAAAAGAGGGAGATTGTGATGTGATCATGCGGGGCAAATCATCCTTAGAATTCGCCCACACTGTCTCTGCGCACCTAAAAGCGCACCCATTTCGAAAGATTTTCATCTCCTTCCTTGCCCAAACCTAATCATTACCCTTTTTGATTCTCCCATGCCACCCTTCTCTTCTTATACGGAGCCCCCTCTCATGCAATCCTTCAACATCAACCTCTCCCTCTCCCTCTCCCTCTCCCTCTCTCTCTGGTGTGAGTTTGCTAGTGAAGTTATCCACTCAAGACGCATACAGAAATTAATGGGTGACATCTCTGTTTCTAATGGGATTAGCAATGGCAATGGTGTCAACGGTAAGAACCATTCTCTTAATGGCTATAGGAAGAGCTGCTGGTATGAAGAAGAGATTGAAGAGAACTTGAGATGGTGCTTTGCCCTCAATAGGTAACATATACATTCTTATTTGTTTTTGCTAAGTGATAGGTAATATATATTCATTTATTGATTATTACTATGTTGGTTTGACTCAGAGAATCTAAGTAAGAGAATATAACCATTCATCAATTCAACCACTGCGGCCGACATAGAGAGACAAAACCACCTGTCTTTTCTTAAAATGAAGCTCACTTTCATTTTACTTTTAGAACTTCCGATTATTTCACAATATGGTACAAGAAAAACGACCCTTTTCTTCTTATCCGGAGAAAAAGAGGAGCTAATCTTCGTGATGATGTTTATGTACACTCTGATTTAAAAACAAAGATCATGGTCATGCTAAAGGCAGACAAGCGACAGTATCTTAATTGCCCCACTTCAGGGCCTCTTTTATAGAAAACTAATATGGGTTTTCTATTCTTTGCTCGTTTCATGATTGCAGCATATTGCACACAGGAGCTTCTCAGTTCCAGGATATTGCACTATTGGACACTAAACCATTTGGGAAGGTAAATTCACTTACAATGTCTCATTTTATACTTCAGATCTTCTTCCTTAATATATATGTACTTATTTGTATGCTTCTTTATCTTTTTGTGGCTGTTTATTGGGCACGTGCTGCATTTTTTTCACTAGGCCCTGGTGATTGATGGGAAGCTCCAAAGTGCAGAGACAGATGAGTTCATTTATCATGAATCTCTGGTTCATCCTGCTCTTCTTTATCATCCAAAGTAATTTAGTTTCTTTCCCCTTCCTTTTGTACTTTTATTCCAATTCGTCCCTCTGGTAAGTTTTTACTAACTAAATTCCTTATTTTGAACTTTCATGTTCAGCCCAAAGACTCTGTTCATCATGGGTGGTGGTGAAGGTTCCACGGCAAGAGAGATCCTAAGACACAAAACTGTAGAGAAAGTTTCTATGTGCGACATTGACGAGGTAATCACTACAACTAAGTAAAATCAAGTCCTAGTATTATTCGGCTTTACTCCTGTATCGATAAGAATCACCAAACCAGACAAAAAGCACAGTAGCAGTTATCACTTACGCATGATTCCTTATATAACCACTGAATGATATGTTTTTCTCGCGTGGATAATGAACGAGTTGAGTTGGCCACGATGAAATTGCCAATTTACTTATCTTTCGCTGAAAACTTGTGAGCAGGAAGTGGTGGACTTCTGCAGGTCATACTTAGTAGTCAATAGAGAGGCATTCTGTGACCCTAGAGTTGAGCTGATCATCAATGACGCGAGGTATGAATCTAGATTAATCACATTTTAATTGAACTAATAGCAGAACCGACCCTATTTACAGCTTGTTTCTTATCAGGGCCGAGCTAGAAAGCCGAAAAGAGTGCTTCGATGTGATCATAGGCGACCTTGCCGACCCCATTGAGGGAGGCCCTTGCTATAAGCTCTACACCAAATCGTTCTATGAGTACACGGTGAAACCCAGGCTCACTCGCAATGGCGTTTTCGTTACACAGGTTAGTGTGTGCTTCTGTATGTAAGCTCACGCGCATTTGCACATTATAAAGAGAGAAATAACCAGTTTGGTGCCATGAGAGCAGGCGGGGCCGGCTGGGATTTTCAGCCACACTGAAGTGTTCTCTTGCATTTACAACACTTTGAAGCAGGTCTTCAAATGTAAGAATGTTACAGAAAATAATCTCGTTCAGTTGTTCACTCTTCTTAAATCATCTAGTACCTATGAGAAAAGGTTAGAGAAATGATCTTTTTCTCTGATACTAAATGCAGATGTTGTGCCCTATTCAGCTCACATTCCCTCGTATGCTGATACATGGGGTTGGGTCATGGTATGTATCAACTAGACTCGAACCATTAACAAGAACTTCAAAAACTTTGCAACTTGGAACTGCTTGAAGTTTAAGGTTGTTCAAAATTACAGGCATCAGATGTGCCATTCTGCTTGAGTGCTGAAGAGTTCGACCTCAGAATGAAGCAGAGGATCAAAGGAGAAAACCGATACCTCGACGGGAGGACTTTCGCCTCGGCCTCGACCCTGAGCAAAGCCGTCCGAACATCGTAAGTCAAGCGAAGACATATACCACGCACCAACCGACTTATCAAGATTGATTGCGATGTGATTGCACTTGTTTGATAAAGGACCTAATCTTAAATTGTGCATTGATTGATTGGACAGATTGGAGAATGAGACTCAAGTGTATACTGAGGGAGCAGCGAGGTTCATATATGGCCATGGCAGACAGAATCAAGACTGAAAGAAACTGAAATGAAGGGAGCCCCCAAGAACACAAGAACACAGAAAAGCTCGCAAGTGGAAATTACAGTTTTTCTTTAACTTTGTTTCTTTCTTTTTTTTTGTCTTTTTTGGGTTCTTGGCTGTAGCTTCTGGTGTTGTATGTCTTTGTTATGTCGTTTCTGCTTTTGTCTCTTGCTACCAACTTTGAAGCTCTCGTATAATTGCAAAGGATGGGTTGTCCTTGAACTCTCTCACCCTCTCTCTCTCCATATGTGGAAAGTTCAACTGGCCCTGCCTAAAACTGAATCAAAGACGTCCCTTTTCTTTTCCTGGTGTCCGTTCTTCTTCTTCTTCTTCTTTTTATTTCACTCCTCTTTTTTATGTACGGAGATCGAAACCGTGTTCAATTTATTAGACTTATCAGTAAGTATTTAATGGCGTACAAAGATGTGCGGTCAAAGCGTAGGAGCATTAAATGCAAAATAAATCATGTCGTTTTTTATGAATTAAGTTCTTATATAAGTCGATAGTAGTTTCACACTTGTATCCATGTAGTTTAAGTCAGACACTTCTTATTGGGGAAAATTATCCTATTAGTTTGAACCAATTATACGGCTACTAATTCGGTCATAAATTTTATAATTTGACTAATTTAGTCATAAACCTTTTGATAATTTTCTAATATAATCATTCCGGCCAATTTGAGCCGAGAAGCGCTGATATGAAGGTCCGGACGTCGTCATTTTGCAGATTTTTCAAAATTTTCTGAATTTTTTTCTTTTTTCTTTTTCTTTCTTTTTACTTTTCTTTCCTTTTCCACGGGACCATTCATCTTCTTCCTCATAACAAACTGATGTTGCTTGTTCTTATTGTTTTTAATAGCCTAAATGATGCTATTAGGGGTTGGATCATGTCGGCAAACTCCAACTTGCTACCATCCTTCTACTTCTCATGGATGGAGATCAACAAACTTAATCCAACTCTACCATTTTATTGGTATGCAAATTGACTTGGTTGAAAATCTTTTTTCTCGAGTATAGGAGGCAAATGGGTTGGCCTGCCTGTGGCATGGCTGGTCTCCGCATACTACCACCTATTAGAGATATAAAGAGATTATGTATATTTCTCTTTATTAGTCCTAATTAATTGTAACTGATATTATGCTACTTTAAATAGTTATTTTGTAAAGCTTATAAAAAGACTCATAGTATTCTATATTTTTTTTGTTGTGCTTTTTCCACTCCTTCATTTGCTAATACACTCCCTATTTTAGTGTTTTGACCATATTATCATTATTGGGTCCCACTTCTTCGACATCCTTTGTTACTATCCTGCCAAAAGTGTTTCATTTTTCTTTCTCTCGAATGTGATGTCGGTTTGCTTTCTTTCTTTTTTTTTTCTTGTGAGTCCCACCTTCCTTCTTATCTCTCTCAATAGACGATGTTGGTGGTCATATTGGTGGTCGGAATGGAGACTTGCTGGGCTTCGCGATGTGGCCTCCTGATCGAACCCGAAGGGAGCGGCGGCGGCGGCGGCGACGACTGCGACTGCGACTGCGGGCTCGAAGTGGTGTTTGAGGAAGGGGGAGACGACATCGGGGTGAGGGTGTCGGAGTTATTGGATGAGGTGGTGGTAGTGGTGGCGGGCTTTGGTGAGGGTCTTAGTATCCCAAGAGTAGGTCTCGGTGAAGCAGGGGTGGATGAAGCTTGGACGAGAAAGGATCCATGGGTGACCGCTCGCCATGTGGTCAGACGACGCCATTGATTGATTTCCCTCTAATTGCTCTCTCTCTCTCTCTTCTCTCTCTCTCTCTCTCTCTCTCTCTCTCTCTCTCTCTCTCTCTCTCTCTCTCTCTCTCTCTCTCTCTCTCTCTCTCTCTCTCTCTCGATGTATCAATCCAAGTACCAAAAATGTTTATCGAGGTGGTCTGTGCAAAGCTTAAAAGGATAGTTTGTGTGGGTGAGAGAGTGAAGTAGGGAGAGACGAAAGAGAAGAAATGGTATGCTGAGAGTAAGACTGTGGGAGAGAGAGTCAAGAGCGGTTAGCTGAAGCAGAGGTTACTCAGTATGTTTGTGATGGTGAAAAAGAAGAGGAACAAGAAATGGAGAGATCAAAGGGAGAGAGAGAGAGAGAGAGAGAGAGAGAGAGAGAGAGAGAGGAGGAAGAGGTGGACTATGATGTTCCTGTAGTTCATGGTCATAATTCGGTTGACGATGGCTATGTCGGGAGTAATGTTGTTCGTCATAATTCGCTAGCTAATGAAGAAAACAAAGAAAACGAAAAAAATCAAACCCAGTAACGAAATGTCTCCAATTGCTTTAGATGAGAGCGAGAAAAACAAAACTTTGACTTTGAAGCTTCTTCTTCTTCCCCCATTTCTTTCCATCTTCTTGGCTAATTGGAAAATGTAAATATTTTTTGGAGAGGAATTGAGATGAGAAGGTATTATCTTCATTTTCGGATAATTGATGAATTACCACCAAGACTTGAACCATGATTAGATTCAACTAAGAGGAATAAGAGATGGCTAGAATTACATCCGAAGAGAGAACAAAGAGAATTAAGAAGAAGGAGGGAGGTGGAACCCACAAGAAAAGAAAAAAATAAACTAAATAACAGAGGATGCTAAAAAAGTGGGACCCACTGAGGATAATATGGTCAAAACTCTGTTATAGGGAGTGTATTAACTAAAGAAGGAGAGGAAAAAGCGCGACCCTTTTTCTTTGATCGAAAGAAAATTGTATTCATTGTTCAAAATGATACATAAGAAGTACAGTGACTTTCATGGCAAAGAAAATCAAAGCATAGCAAATCCCAAAATACAACAAAACTGTAAAAGCAATGGACTAACAAGATGAGAATAGGTGGCAATTGCCAACAAGTGTTTTGTGTTTCAATGATAGAATTTTTTGTTACATACTTCGACTATGCAGTGTGGTGTCTTTATCTAATACAAGCTAGGGTTATAGAATTAATGAGGGATGCAATCATGATCTCTTCTCTTTGGAAAGAATTGATCTTGCTTGATGAGCAAGTGGTGGAGAGATTGTAGCTGAATCAAGATACATCATCGTGATCTTTTCTCTTTAGAAAGAATTGATCTTGCTTGATGAGCAAGTGGTGGAGAGATTGTAACTGAATCAGGACACGTCATCATTTCCTTTGACACGGTAGCCCACTGGATTGTGGTCTGTGGTATAGTTTCAGCGGCAGGAGATGGCACTTCTGGTTGCAGTTGGAGAGATACTGAGCAGGAGGTGGTGGGACTGCTGTGCACAGGTATCGACATGTGGGATACATCAGTCCTCGGCTCCTGCATATGTGAATCATTAGGTTGCAAATGTGTCAGTGGGGGAACATAAAGGGGTAACTCCAATGATGCTGGTGGGGACACATTTGATGATACGTCGATGACCGGAGCAGCAAACGGAAAAATAGTCTCATCGAAGATGGCGTATACAACTGTATAGAATCATCGTTGTTGTGGAGAATAGCAGCGATAACCCTTGACACCTGAGGGATATCCCAAGAAAATATATCGATGTGACATGGGCTCCAGTTTGTGCTTGACATAGGGTCGTAGGTTCGGGTACACAGCACAGCCAAAAACCTGAAGAAGCTCAATGGATGGTGCGGTAGAAAAGAGTACTTCCCAGGGACTGCGCTTCTGCAGAACGGGATTAGGTAGTCGATTGATAATGTGGACTGCACTTTCAAAAGTAAAATCCCAAAAGTGAGAGGGAACAGACACATGGTGCATCATAGCCAGACCCATTTCAATCACATGTCTGTGTTTGCGCTCGACCAAACCATTTTGAAGGGCCAGGCGAGGACAGGATGTCCGTTTATAAATGCCATGCTCCTGCAACAATTTATTAAAAGATGCATAATGAAATTCTCCGGCACTGTCACTTTGGATGGCTTTAACTCGGGTATTGAGCTGGTTTTCAACAAAGTTTAGAAAGACCACGAAGATATGTAAAAATTGATCATGAGAGTTGAATACATAAAGTCAAGAAAAATTGGAGTAATCATCAATAAAACAAACATAATATTTATCCTTACCAAAAAAAACAAACAAACATAATATTTATTGTGTTGATGAGATGTTACATGAGAAGGTCCCCAAATGTCAAAATGAACCAATTCTAGGGGAGCCTTGGATCTATGAAAAGTGGGAAGATGAGGATGATGATGACTCTTACTAGATGCACATGCCGAGCAAGTTGGTTAAACAATTGACAACTTATTTAACATGCGAGAAATAGTAGAATATGCAGCATGGCCTAAACGATGGTGCCAACGGACAAGGGAGCTGGACTGAGACAGGTAATAAGCTGAAGGAGAAAGCTCGGACTGATCCGACGGTTGATAGAGTCCCTAATTAGGTTCCCTTGGAAGAGAATCTTGCCCGTACGGCATCACTTCACAGAAAAACAATTGGGTGAGAAAATGAAATCACAATTGTTTTCCAGTGAAAATTGACGAACGGAAAGTAAGTTTTTTCTTTATAGAAGGAACAACTAAGACATTAGACAAACGAAAATTTTGAGAAACAAGAGTACATGTATGGGTTCGGGAGGCTAGACCCATTACCTATGGTAACATGTTGGTTGCCTGTGGATGGCCGAAAAGAAGACAATTGAGACGGATTATTTGTGACGTGGTGTGTGGCACCGGAATCTGGATACCACGGGTCCGAAAAGACTGACGGTGGTGGTGGAATTTCATAAATGTGGAGCTATGGTGCCGAGCCTAAAGATTGCGGTGGAGGCCCACGATCACGATGAACATTGGCGCGGTGGCCAAAGCGATTGCAGAGTTGACATTGAACACTGTCCCTCCTTTGATTTCTGTAATTGCCTGCATTTGGTGAGTAATTAGGGGCTGAATTTCGTGGGCCAAAGTGCTGCCCACTTTACGAAAATTGTTGCCCAGGCCGTGGTGACTTGTCCACGCGAGAAGAAAGCTGTTAAGGTGTTTGGTGTGTTGTCCACGTCATGAACGCTATTGGAGGAGAGGTGATGGGCTTAAGCAAATCAAGTCGTGCCTCATGAGCTAAGAGCAGCCCGTGTAGAGACTCATGTGTAAGGGATTGGTACCGACTTTGAACGGAGATCGACACTGCCAAATTTTGATATTCTACTCCAAGTACCCCAAACAGGTGAGTTTGATATTCTTGTGAAGAAATGTTCTCATCAATCGAGGCAAGCTGATCAACAAGGAAGGCTGCTTGTTGTAGATATTCCGTGATTGTTTGATTTCCCTTGCGGAGAGTCTAAAGTTGCATTCGTAGATGGGTGGCGCGGGCACTGTTACGTGCTGCATAT